TTGGACTGACATTTGACAGAAGAATGACATGGGGCCCACATATCAAAAAAAAAAAAAGATTACGATTATTATACTCACTTCGTTCAAGACGTTCAAAATTAAAATTAAAATAGAAACTGACCACCTACATTCATCTACTAAAGCCTATATTGACCTACGCTTCTCAGATATACGGAAAAGCCAAAACGACACACATAAACTACAAACCTTTCAGTCAAAAACTTTTAGGACTATAACTAAAGCTCCATGCTACGTCACCAACATTACATTACATAAAGATCTAAACATGCCAACAATTAACGAGTACTATAAAACATTTCACAATAAATTACATGGACATACTAACACACTGATACAAGCCATGGTCACGATTGACATGCCCGAAAACACATTTCTGAGTGTCAAAAGAAGCCGGATGAGGGATTTTCTCACCTAAAAATATATAGAATTCAAGTCAAGAAGGGATGCCGCTGGGCACTCCTTTCCCTTACGTCGATCAAGTCACTATTATTAGTATTCTACGGGCAGCATACTCGCTAATTGTCAGTACTTCTGACAGGTATGGGTAAAACAAAAATAAAGTTTAAAAAAACTAAACTCTAAAGTAATTTCTACTAAAATCGTTGAATTATTTTAAACTTTTTAAAAATAACAAACTGATAGAAGTATCATTATTTTTAATTATTAGTTGTCTAATAGGAGTTTTTTTTTGTTTAAAGCTTGACAAAAACTATTTACACGTTTGTATTCTATTAGCTGTTTCCTCGCGAAATGATGTACAAATATTTTCGAAAGTTTTACTCCTTTTTCTTGTTTACCAAGCTCTTTTCCTCAGACATGTTCAGATACGGCGTAGTTGACAAGATTAGAAGGACGCTATTAAAATTTATGCAACTACCTTTTTTATTTATTTTTTAATTTATATAATTTTCTTTCGGTGTTTCGAAATCGAAAGGAGATAATTGGAAGTAGTTCTTGGTAAATAAAAATATCTAATTCATTAGAAACTCGATCCAAATGTTTGTCGATTTTTTTGTAATATAAAGAAGTATATTTATTCATCAATATAGATCAATTTAAAAAAGTAAATATATATATATTGAATGGTAAATCAATTTGCTGTTATTATATTGAATATTGATTTGATATCGATTTACTTAAGTATGTATTGAACATTTTTGAATATTTCGATGAAAGTCAACTGAAATATCTCAGATATTCCAATATCTCATTTCAAAATTACTAATTTTTATATTGGTTGGTATTTTTTGTTTTATATTAGTTTTTATAATATGTTTTGCAATGTTTATTTAAAATTACAAATTTATTTTTTAATATTAAAGGCATAAAAATACAAAATATTTTTTACGCGTTTTTTTTTCATGAATGACGGGTTTCTTTTGGTGTATTTAGGCTTTAAGTATTGATCATAGAGTTCATTTAATTTCGTTAATGTTTTATAGCTGTAGTTATATTTTGTTATCTGAACTGTTCAAAAATTGTTTGTATACTGTGTAAAAATCGATACTTTTCATTATATTCCATATCAGCTTTTTAATTTTTATTAATCCTCTAAAGGGGCACAATCTAATCATGGATTTATTAAACATAGATAAGGTGAGCCAATTTTATGGAAGCAATAATGTTTATGACATCCCGTATGTTGCAGCACCTAAAAATTATTTTTAATAACTACAGGATAAAGCGAATCATAAGTGAAATCGAGCTCTTTTTTTCTTTTTTATCTCCGACGAAAAGAAGATACCATACCGACCTTTCAACCTTGCTATCTCGTTAAGTTGTTTGTTATTTCAGATTTGCACGCGCGAGACTTAAAGTAAATTGTTTTATTATCTGATTCGTAAATGGAAAAATTCTAATTTAATGCTCATGACAATTGTTAAACAATTATGATAAAGATAAAATGGCAATCGAAATAACATTTCTTTGCCTTGTGGCAGTACAAGGAAAAAGCAGGAATGGATATATATGTATATATTATATTTGTATAATAAAATCGTTGGAGAGAGAGAATAAAACAACAGCAATATTTCTGAAATAAAAACTTATTTTTTTATTGACAATTATATTAAAACTGAGTTCTGTGAGAACAACGCATGCCCCATAGGATCGTAGGAGACTTATAAGATTTCGATGAATAATAAAATGAATATTTCCTTGGGATAGATAATTATTTAATTATAAAAATTGACTATTTCAATTTTTTAAGATTTAATTTATGTCTAATATTATTTTGAAAAAAATAATCAAAAATGTAAAAAAGATAAAATACAGACCTCCAATATAAAGAATGTTACGGTGATAAAATTGTGAATATATTTCTATTTTAATAGCATTCGTTTTCTCACTTATTGAATTCTAGAATATTAATATATCACTAGTAAGGACGTACGAAAAATTCGCACAGCTTATTGTTAATTGATCAAATGCCAAATTAATAAGAAAATTAAATAATGCAACGTATCATAAGATAAAAAAATCAATTGTTGCTTTATCGATGAATATAATCGACGAACGAAACAAAAATTAATTTAAAATTTCATTAATGTTTGAAACCAACAAGTTTTACAAATTTCAATATGCTGTATCTTTGCTAAAAATTGTCTGATTTCGATGATTTTTTTTTCTTTTGTAGGGAATTTAGTAATATTTTACATAATTATGAGCATTAGCAAATTGTGATTTCTTGTGTATTTCTTGTGGAAGATTGTGTATTTCTTAGTTATTCGAAAATAATGTTTCTTTTCTTTCATAACTTGTTAACCTGATTTTTCGGGATGATTGGACTATTTTGCTCGCCTGAAGGAGAAGGAAGCCTTCAAAATTGGTGGCTCAATCTTGGGATTTGGTGAAGTAATAACGATGATGTGGCTCGCTGATCAAAAACACCATCGATAAATGATATAATAAACTCCTCCTCTCTCGATCATATTTATAAAAATCTAAGACAAATTGGAGTACTGGAAATCGATTTCTGATTGAAATGAATATGAAAAATATCTCTAAATATTTAATGGTATAACATATAATTCTTTATAATAATACTTTTTGAAAAATATCGAATTTTTCTATTATTTCGAATATTGATAGGGATGACACTATTTTTGTCTCATGATAATTATTTTACTGATAATTGTAATAAAAGTGATAAAACTGCAACTCGGAATCTTTACATAATATTTAGATGTTAAATTTTTAAATAATACCTTAGTCTTACACAGATTAATACTATTTATTTTTCTATGAAATTATTTTCTTTCAGGTATTTAACCTTAATATGAATCAGAATGCAGCAATAAGAAAAAAAAAATTGTAAGGATGTTTGATCTCCTACAATCTTCCTAGTGTTCGTGTAAAGTTATTTTATCAATTAAGTGTATTACTGAATATACTCTTTCCGATTTATAGAACATAATATATTTTAGACATTTCGTTATCTATGATTAACTTCTTTGAGTAGTATCTGCAAAGTTATTAGTCATAGTAGACAAATAAAATTCTTATCCTTTTACGTCAATTTTGATATTATATTTCATTCATTATATTTATCAATAATTACTTTTTCTGATAAAGATATGTTATCATATAGCTGCCGTAACATTAGCGGAAGAAATTCGATCCGAAATTCTCGATATATATTTTAATCTCTCTAAAAACATGTCAAAAAAGATTATATACAAACACATTTATTGGATAATACTAAACAAAAAATTTATATGATTCCATTCTTGAATCTCTTTTTTATTTAGTGTATTTTTAAATTCGTACCCCTTACGAAGATGATTTATCCTCTAAATATATTAGATTTATTACATGGTAAATTAGTGAATTATTTAAAGAAATAAAATGCCTCGAACAAAGATTTTTTTTCACCTATAATATTATTTATTTAAAATTCGCAGTCATGGAACCTTTAATACCTTGTACGATCCTAATAGGTTCAAAATCTTCAGGTGTTTGTAAGTTTCTTGGTGCAGTGTGAGGTTTGTTCCAAGGTTATGTATGTGTTTTATTTTGGTCGAAACCACGGCAGTAACACGTGAAATATAACATGAGAAACGCCAATTACGAATGCCAACTGCGAAAATTCTCACCCAGCCAATTATAGGGGTTGTCATACCCATCTAAGATGAGAATAAACAACTTTTTCTTTTATAAAAAAAAAAAAAAAACTCTAATATGTATATCTACAATTAATTCCAACTAGATGTATTAGAATATTTTATAAGTAAATGTACTTAATCAAGGTTTACTGAGTTTAAAAAAAAAAAATGTTATGAAATGAATATTTATTTTAATTTCAAGTAATTATTTAATAGTTCGTAAATTCTACAAATGTTGTTATTCTTCATTTTAGTAATTGAAAATAATGCCTTCTAGTTAAATATATGTCAATTATATGCTTGAATAATTTTTTTTTTTTCTGATGTGTTTTGCAACACAGTCATTTACATAAGACGACAATAATTTCAAGATGTTTGGGTTCCTTTGAAATTTAATAAGTGATTGAACAAATTGATGTTTCGAGGAAAATTAAATTGTTTTTTAAAGTGTCCTTTAATTTGTTTGTAAAAGCTCAGTTTTCCTTTACTAATTTTTTTGTTATTTATACTTTACTGAATTGCAATATGGTTTAAAATTTATTGCTCAGAGAATTGTTTATATTTATTTTTTCGTTCTGAAAGCTTTTCTATGTAATTCTTCGTAGTAATTCCTAAGCTGGGACATATTCAGATTAATCGGTCGCACAAATAACATTGGTTTGCCTGCTATTAATAAGACCGTAAAATATTTTATATTCTATAATTTTATTATATCGTACGTAATTGCCATAAACGATAAAATTTAATGGTCTTTAAAGTGGTTTTCGTGCTCCGTTGGCTAACAACTATTGCTTTTATATATATCAACTTAATATTTAACACTACTTATCACTATTTACTACAAAAAAAAAAAAAAAAAAAAATGAAATATCTTACCTCCTTATCTTCTACTAACGTTGCTACACGACCCGGCTAGAACAAACAAAACAAGCAGGTAAAAATAAAGTTAAAAATAAACACATGAAAAAAAGATATTCAAATATTTTACATACTAACAAGATAAAAAATACATATATTTGCTTCTGAAACAGCATTGTATATAATAATAACACACACACACAAAACAAAACTTGAAATGCTATTTTAAAATTCTTTTTATGTAATGTGTGAAGAATTATTTGGAACTATCTTCTAATGGATGGCAAGCTATGAAATATAATTAAAAAATGTTTAATTATTTATTAATATGTCGAGAATAGTTTTAACACATTATATGTTATGGAGATATGTGAAACTGGAATTAAATTTTAATGATAATTATTCACAAATACAAGCCAGTTTAATCCGAAAATTTATTTTATTGCTAGATGAGATGACTGAGGTATTGTTAATTCGTAACACGGTATCGTAAATATTTTCGACTGATCTTAAATAATAATTAATTAGATACAATAGTTATATCTTCATAATACATTCGAGGTCATGTTCTTGACCCTGTATGCTTATCTCTGATTTATTGCAAAAAGTCATTAAGTGACAGATCATAAACTTCCATCGCTAAGAACTTTGTGATTTTTTTTCCTTTGTGAAATCCTTTGTGCGCTTATTGCAACTATATTTGACATATATATATATATATATATATATATATATATATATATATATATATATATATATATAATATATATATATAAATGAGCATATATAAATGAGTATTTTTCGTTTTAGTGTACTTAAATGTACGAAACAGTGAAACAATCATAAATGAACAAATACATGTTTGAAGGAAGTTAAAGGTTTTTTTTTTTCTAATTTCGGAAACAGCTCATATAGTAAATAAATTCAAAACCTTCAAAGCGATTAAAATAATTAAAAGTTATGTAACTAAAAAAATAAGTAACCAAACTGAAGAAAAACAATTTAACGTTTGTTAGTTAAAATTGCGATGTTCATTTTCGCCTCGCAACTTATATTTTTATTATTATTTTTAATGTAAATTTTATTTCGCAATATATCTGACACCTGTGCACATCACGAAAAAGCTTTTTTTTTCTTTTTTCTTTGTATCTAATGGGCTAAGTTATGTGACTATTGCAGAGATGAACATGCCATGAAATCATGGGTCAAAGTTGAAGATTGAACTCGCAACTAGTGTTGCCCAAAATCCCACTTTACAAGACCAAGACCAGGACTAATAAAAAAAATCGATTTTTTAAGTAAAAATTAAGGCAATATAGCTACTAATACTTGACAATATTAGTTAATATATGTTAATAATGGTATAACCAATATACTTTTGCATTTAACTCCCCTAATATTTCATTCGGGCATAGTTAGGTTTCTCCTATCTAAAAAAATACAGTAATATCTGTATAGTAATAAGCTAATAAGTAACCGCAAGACTGTTGCGAGACTCTTGCGCAAGACCAAGACCATGACCAAGACTGACTTTGCAAGACCAAGACTAGTTTCGGTCTTGCATTTGGGCAAGACTACTCGCAACTGTGAAAATTTCAAACTATCTAAAGCGTTTTTCCATAAACATGATTTTTGCATTTAAAACACTGTTCACAGGTGCCACAGATATATTTATAATTATTAATTTAAATATTATCATGTTATTTCACCTATATTTGATACTACATGGCATTATTTATTCCTCTGTAAATGACTCCCATAGCACCGAAATTGTAAGCATAAAATGAAGGAATTAAAAAAATATATAGAGAGAATATTATATAAAAAAAAATCACACTAATGAATATATATATATTTTTTAACGAAAACTGGTGCAAAAATCATTTTTTTTTTCAAAATCGTGAGAATTTACTAGCAGAATAGTCTGCTGTGCATTACATATGAAACATGTGTATTTATTTATTTATTTTTTCAATATTCTTCTACGTTATGTTCTAGTTATTAATAATTAATTTCGGTTTCTCATTATATATAAACTCTCCTACCATGCGGATGGTCAGACCGAACATTTATTTTAAGGAGGAAGTGATTTACTATGAGCAGAAGACCTCCGAATCGGGGCCTGGCTATTCTTAGTTGTCCCTTGGCCATCTACCTATCCCTCGTTTCTTTCACTTTCTAGTGTCGTTCAACTCAAGACCGTAATAATAATGAAGTTCAAAAATATATAATAATAAAAGTATTATGGTAGTTAAATTTTGAAAATTATTGTTTTCAAGTATTACTAATAAATTCATCAATTAATGAAGACGGATTACGAAGAAATGAAATATTACTGGGCTATCCAGATCAGCAAACACGACCTAGTTCATTGCACTCTCTCTAAATTAATAAAATAAACTGATATTGCGTGTTATCTTGCCGTCACTGCAGAATTTTTTAGGTGTTTGTGTGAAGAACAATATTTTTTTAATTTAACAAACAACTTGTCATTCGTAGTTTCATATTATTTCCTTTATATATTTTTCGGCGATTTTCTAAAATGTTAATAAATATATTCTAAGACTTATTTTCCATTATGATGATTAATAGTTTTATGTTGTTCCTTTACAGTCTCGGTCATTGAAATTGCATCAATTAATTTTTTCTCTTTTTTTTTTCTTTTTTTTTTATTTGTATTCGCCTCTATCCTAGAGGGTCATTGGCGGTTTTCTTAATTTTTATATTTTACTATAAAATATGTCTATATAATGTCTCTTTTATCTGTAGTATCTTTAATATTTTTGTGGTCCATATTTTGATGCTTCTATCTGTTATTAAATTCTTGATATCTATTAGCATCTTTGTTAGTCCGTTTTTGTCATCCGTGAATTGTTCTATTAACTCGATTGTATTTGGTGATATTTTTTCACTTTGTATTGTATCATATAGTAAACATATTTTATTGAATTCAAGGGGATAATCGTTATTAATTAGCAAATCTCGAATGGGTTCTAGAATGTCTGTTGTAGTTGGTTTTATTTGTTTAGGTTCGTTTGTTTTTACTTCTATCGTTTTTTTCAAGGAGGAGGCTTTGTTATCGATTATTTTGAAAGTATTTTCTCTTTTTAAACATGTTTGTTGAGAGATGTTACAATCTATCGCAATTAAGGACGTTTATAATAGTGTTCTGAGAGCACATTCACACACTATGAACAATAAATAAAAATAAATAATACAGAAAAAACAATAATACTAAAAGTAAATATATATATAAACTAAACTAAACACAAAGAATCTAAAATAATGAAAATAACTACCCACACACACATGCTTTTATACAATATCTAAACAAAAATAAGAAATCATTCACTCAAGATCTCTCCCCTCGTGAAAGGAAAAGCAGGACTCTAGAAGATCCCAGTGCCTCTCACTCAGCCGCATTACTGGTATTAAGGACGAGTAGAAGCTTATATACGCGATAGAATCACACATACATGGCTTGAGTGAAGAATCTTGCAGATGCCAAAACTCCAATGTATGCCAAAATTCACAAAAGGTCTCTGGGCTACTGCCGCTTCAATCTTCGAGGAGGATTGTAGGGATGGGTGGTGCTGGATAGGAATCGTGCAAGGGGATTTGGATGATAGGTAAGGTTCTGATGAAATATGGAGAATGACTTTTCTGGGATAAGGTCTAAGAAAAATGGCATATTAAGGCCATGGTGCTGGGTTTTGTTGGTTACATAGAATGGAGCATCAGCTATTGTTCGTAGTAAAAATGTTATTAAATTTCATAATGATGTAGAGATGGTTGACCGTTGATATAATATGAGAAGGAGTTAGTCGGGAGTGGGGTCAAATAAATACTAAATTAAAATATAGTAATTATTTTATTTCAATTTTGCCGACGTTTCGACCCACTTTGCAGGTCGTCTCCAGGACTACAAAAGATACAAAACATGTTGAGAATAAAAATTAAATATAAATAGATATAAAATAAGAAGAAGTTGTCAGATACAGAAATAAAAGATATCAGAGATATAGTGGGTGACAACGTAGTTAAATATTTCCATTTATTTGTATCTTCTACATATATAATACTTAATATTTAACTACATTGTCACCCACTATATCTCTGATATCATCTTTTATTTCTGTATCTGACAACTTTTTGTTATTTTATGTCTACTTATATTTAATTTTTATTCTCAACATGTTTTGTATCTCTTGTAGCCCTGAAGACGACCTACAAAGTGGGTCGAAACGTCGGCAAAATTAAAATAAAATAATTACTATATTTTAATTTAGTATTTATTTGACCGCACTCCCGACTAACTCCTTCTCATGTTATTAAATTTCATTTTATTTACCGGACTGCTATCCGCTAGATCTCCGGATATTTCTTTTTCAGTTTTGAAACGATATTCTAAAACACCACAGGCAATCATACCATTTAGCGTTCAAATTGTTAGTTTGTTTTTTTCTCGTTCCACAGTGCTTTTTTTTATTTCATATAACGTTACAATTTTAATATTTTTTGACGATGACAGTTTTTGATACAGATCATAATTACAGCTTTTATTCTGTCATTAAACTGAACTGAGAAACATTGTTAAAGTTTTCTTGTAACCTTAATAAGTAAAGATAAACAAAAACATTACATGGAATCAGCGTTATCAACATAAGAATCAAAAGAAATATATTATGCTATTTCTGTGACCGTGACTTCTGTACAAGACTTCATTTGTTATTTGTTAAATCCATATGTGTCATTTAGGTTGGTACAATAAATAGATGGAATCGTGACATGTTTCTAATTCGCATGAGGGAAGTCCTTATCCATAATTATCGCTAAAACTCAATTCGAAGTTTAAAAATTGATATAGGAATCCTTTAATTTCTTTACTGCCACCATTGAATGTTTTCTGTAATTTGCAAAAGAATGAGAAGGTACAAATATATACGATTTTACTAGCCTTAGTCTTTTACGAAAGACTATGAAACTGTGTATAAAGTAGCTGTGATCCGAGTTTTTACCCGACTTAAATTTAGACTATTATTATTTGTTTTACA